GTTCTGAATTAAATTATTTATTTAACCTAACAATTTATATTAAGATTCATCAATTCATTAATTTGACATATCGTTTAAGCATTTAAGTTTTTAACGTGTAGCAGAGGCAAGGTAGTGAGATTTCACATCATGATTCATGTTTAGAAATTGAGATGACGTCGGACAACTTCCCATATTGTTGGAAATGATTTCTTGTAGTTAACGTTAGGGTTCTAAATTCTAATGCTTTCCCTTCTATTTGGGAATATATATATATATATATAAACACCAATTTCTTCTAAATGAAAAATTATCTATTGTATAATAAATTAGAAGAAATCTAAATTATTCTCTTAAACTTGCAATTCATACAAGAAGCATATCTTTGTCGTCATCGAATTGCTGTTAAAAATTTAATTAAATATCACCCTCATCTCATCTAGAGTTATAAATAAATCGAACCCAATCAAATTTTAAATTATTCAAATTTAATTTATAAAATGCTAATAAAAATTTAAATTCAGCTTAAGTTTATATTTTAAAGTTCGAGCTCGGCTCGTTTAAAAAATATTAAATAAATTTGAGCTCGATTCAAGTTTAACTTGTTTAAAACTCATTTATATTAACTCCAAGAATAAGTTAGTAGAAATTTAGATTATTCTCTTAAACTTGCAATTCATACAAGCAAACTTATTTGTACATTTAGATATGGAGTTGTAATTATCAGAAAGATTTTATCCAAACGTAGACAAAATAAAATGGCATTGCAACTTGTAAATTTTATAACAGTGTTCCATTCATTTTTCTTAAAAGAAAAAAAAAAAAAAAAGAACATCCATTGGCTTTACCAAACATCTTTAGAACTAGTAGTTAAAAGACAAAAGCCCCTAATTAGTTTCTCCTTTTTACTGTTCCTCTTTTCACCTTTCTTCAGGTCATGATCTTCTCCCTCTCTCAATTAAAGTTGCTCTGCTTCAACGACCAAAAAAATTCCAAAGACGTTGAAAAACCAAACCTGGTTCAAATTCCAGTCTTGGGTTTCGCCCATAAAACTCGTAACTCATAATAGAGGTCAATCTGTAGATGATGAACAATCATAGTTTTGGAACTGTAACTCACTTAACCTTCCTCTAGATCAACAAATTAATTATTTTTTTTTAAAGAAAATGAAAACATTTCATTCAACCCAGTTGCTTCTCATAGGAAAGCTCCTAAATAAGTTTGTCTACCATTTAATAATTTTTAATTGTTCGAATATTCATTATTGTATTCCAAAATGCCCTTTGAAATGAATCATTTGCTTTTAGCTACCATCAATCCCATTATCACTACATGTTCACCTTCTAGGTTTTTGATTTTTTTTATTATTTTTTTAATATTATATGGTCTCATGTCTATGCATGTCTACGTACGTTTAATTTCACTCACAAATATTCTCATCCCAAAAAACTATTTGAATTTTTTAAATAAGTGAAGGATTTTACACAATAGATTACAAGCTCCAAAGTTTATTTTGCTATGATTATTTTATAAATTGACAAATATTCATAATTGAATATTGGGGGAATTTTTTAATATCGGTTTCCATCTTGCGATATTAAAATATACTTGCGAGATTATGTATATGTTAAAAAAAGTTTTCCATAAACTAGTTATTTGTAAAATAGACATAGCCATAATTTGTAGCAAAAAGAATCTGATCCATCTAAATTTATGTTTAAATGATTATGTTTAAATAATAATCATGTCAAAACTTAGTAATAAGTTTAATGTAAAAAAAAAAAAAAATTTATTAATTAGTAGTTCAACATCTCCATTGCAACTTTTACTGACAAACTAAAAAATTTTGAAAACATTATGTCGAAGTGGTTGGAAACCTAAATCCCAATTACAGTTACCTTCTATGGTTGGCTATAGATTTTAGGATCTGTTCGATAAAATTAATTGTTTTTGTAGCCGTTAACTATTTTATTAGGGTTTAGCTATTTAAGTAGTTATAGCTGTTTGAGTAGTTTTTCATAAAATATTAAAAGTTAAAAACGTTACATGAGTTAACCTTTTATAAAACGCTACTTTAACCTTCAAAATCTATTTCAAAAGTTATATTACTGAATAATATGAAAAATAGCATTTAACATTTTAATCTGTTAAAATATTAAATGCTACTTAAAAAATTATTGTTTAACATCGCTTTAATACGAAGAAAGTCAAAGTAAACTTAAAGTTGAGTTTCGAGTAAGGATATGCACTCTTCATTATTGCTGATTAGGACTAATTAACATATATAATGCACAAAAACACAGCCATGGAAGTGTAATTAAAGATAATTATAGAGCTAGCTCAGCTCATGGTTTTGAAGAATGGGTCCAAGAGAAAGAAAGGGATTATGGGTATATATATGTGTATGCATGTGTAAATGTGATTAGCTAGATGCCTCTTCTTTTTATAGCATGTGCTAAGGCATACCCTTTTAATCATTGAACATCATTGTCTTCAAGATGAATTACTACCTGTAGAATTTCTTAAAAGAAACAGAATTGTTGTTGTCCTTGGACCAAAAGTAACTGCCAAAGTTCTTATTTAGCTTCTTGGCTCCTCCCAAATTTTTGCTTGAGTGCTTACCAGATTAAGGATTCTTCTTACCAAGTTATAAAAAGTTGATATGTTGCATACTTAGGTGCAGTCAATCGAGGGGAAACCTGATTTAAATTAAAGAGAGTAAGATTTTAATATCTAAATTAAGCGGAGCAACGGTTAAAGAAAAATAAAAAACCAATAAATATAGTATTTCTAATTGTAAATAATGAATATTGAGTTGCTTTGCATATCGATCCGTATAATACTGTAGCTAATGCATTAAGTATTCCACTTGGAAAGTACTATTTCCATAAGAATACAATTCGAAGGAATTGACGGGATACATAGAAATTGTGAAGCATATGGTTTAATTTGATTCAAAGAAAAGAATCTTGTTAGAGCTTGACATGTCATGGATCCTCTTAAAATGGAAGAGTACTTTCGGAAACGGAAAAACTAATACTAAAATCTAATTCTCAACAAGCGGACTTGATTTTAACGGCAGTCATAGTATCTATGAAAATGACTCTCTTCTTAGTGAGATTATTTGAAAAAATTGTATCTATGTAATAATTTAGTGTAATTAGGGGATTAAGTAACCTTTGTTTCAAAATCTTCATTATATGAAATATTGATGACAATGAATCATAATTGAAAATTTGGTACCAACTTATGATTTAGTGCACGAAATCTTTTTTCTTTTTTTTTGGTGGTAGATTTAGTGCATGAATTTAACAAATGTTGAATGATTTCTCTCAATTTATTTGTAATAAATTAGGGTTCAAAGTCCCTATTTTACTAACTAAGGACAACTCTAATACTATTGTTTAATGGTAAGGTAATATAATCTTAAAACCTATTTATTAGTAGTTATATGTTTTTTCTAAAAAAAGAAAAATTTTCTTTTGCATGACATGAAAGTCATTGAAAATGACCTTACTTGAGATTTGAGAATTAAACCTACAGAAATTAAATTTATCAATTAATGTAAGTTGACACATTTGAACATTTGAAATATGTGAGTGATGAATCAATATGCTCCATTCAAAATTTTAAGAGATGACAGCCTAAGAAAGTTTAATTTCTGGCCCAGTTGACAGAAGAAAGCATGATTTTTAACCCACCTAACCGGTAAATATGATTGGGCCCATACAAAGATCTAACTACCACTCATTGATAATGATAATTAAAAAAAAAAATTAGTTAGGAAATTTATCTGCTTCTTTATGTACTACAACAATTGTCTTAACACATTAATGACTGTAATTAATTAAACCCCCCAATGGGTAAGGAAGAAAGCAATATTCCAACTAATGCATATTGGTAAGTAGTCCCGAATGATTTATTTGATTCGAAAATCTCGAGTTTGAATTTAATAAAAGAGAATTTAAAAAAAAAAGAAAAAAAAAAGAAAAAGCCTGTGAGTAAAATTAATTACAGAACATGACCTCTATCATTTGAAACGATCAGTCGTTCTGTACAGTTGATAGAACGTTCGGTCGCTCACAAACATAGAAACTACTGGTTGTGGTAGGTAACGTATTATCTGTGAATGACTGTTCTTTGTTTGATGTTTAGTATTTGCTTTAAAAATCCTTTTCAGTTTTCAGTTTTCACTTTTATAAACTTGACAGCCTTTGCTTTTGGGTGCATAAAAATCACCAAAAAAGAAAAAGAAAAAGGACAAACAAAGGGAATATCAATCTGCTCAAATCTTCAACCACCACATTCAGTCCGTTCTTCATGACATGCCATGCTCTTCGTCTTCCCTCTTTTTCTACTTTTTTTTTTTTTTTTAATTTTTTATAACAAATTTTAATCATAATACGAGGGATTTACAAATAATCCAACAAGAAGTATTCATCGTTTTGGTTTTTTCTATTTTTTTTATTAATGACTAAAAATATAATTTTCTAGTAATTAATTTTTTAAAAACTATCTATTATTATTATTATTATTATTTTGCAATACATGTAATAAATGGGGGTTACACCATTATTATTATTATTTAATTTCTAATTTACACGTATTTTCACACTCAGATCAGAATAATATTCAAATAAAATCTTTTAAAAAATAATAATTCTTCAATAGTTAAGAAATCGGAATTTGTCGACCGATCGTTTTACCTGGAAAGGCATTGCCTCATCAGTAAAACTGACGGCTGAAGAGGAGGAAATAATAAATCCGCAGGAGAGGGTTCTTGTCCATACTTCAAATCCTTGAAATTTATTTGGAGATATAGTCCTATGAAATGTAAAAAATAAACTACAAAATATCCGTTAAAAAATTAAAAAAAATTGACAAAAAATTGAGGATTTTTATGTCATTAGGCCTTATGAAAATGAAAATGAAAATGGACCAGAAAACCAATAAGCCGACAAATATGGTTATATAGATTTTGGGCTAAGCCCATAGCCCATGAACCGAAGACTTTCATTTACTTCAAATTTAGGGTTCTTCTTTTTGTTGCCTAAACCCTAAATTAATTTACGATCTCAAATCTGCCTGTCAACCATGGCGAAGAACAGAAATAAGAAGAAGAAAAATGGCGCCGTTTCAATGGACATCTCAGAGCCCACCGTTTCTGATCTCTCTCAGGGTACTTAACACTCTTTTTCCAATTCTATTTTTGTTCAATTCATTTACACTCTATTATTTGGCTGCCTAAGCAAAAGTACTGTTTCAATTTCCTTCAAATTTCGAACTTCATAAAATTTTCCTTCTCTTTTTGTATGATTTATTATTATTGTTATTGAACTATACGTGATTGTACATGCAGCAATGGATACTTCAGAGTCTGTAGCTCAAAAACCGGCTTCTGGGGTTCTTACTAGGTCAGTGCCAATAGCTCCATTACTGATTTCTCAGTTTTCAGTTTCGGTTTATATGTATATTATAGTTTTATGCATGCACACTTGTGTTGGGTTATACATGTATCATAGGGGTTGAGGAATAACGATGCAATTTTTCTTGTTTTAGTTTATATGATAATAGTTTGCGCATGCATACTTGTGCTTATGGGTTATACATATATCATAGGGTTTGAGGAATGGTAATTCATTTGTCTTATTTTACGTTGCATGATGTGTTAAGATTCTATTAATTTTTCTTTTAAAATGATCTTTTATTATTTAGAAGATGGGGGCTTTCGGGTTGATAGTTTGCCAATGACTCGCTATATTGTTAATGATGGTTCTTGCGAAAATGATTTTGACATGCAGAGTCCGTGTGCCATGTTAACCTCTGATTTCGATAAATGAGTACTTGTGAAAGCATTTGAATATGTGGTAAGAGTTAAAATGGTAGCAGGATGGCTTGAGAACGAAAACCTTAGAAACAATCATGCACTAGTTCTACGAATGCAATTGTGGAGGACTGCATTTTGCTCTTAGATTATAGGAAAGAGGTGCGAAAGATCTGAGAATTTTTTATTTCTATGCCGGAGTGTATTGGATGAGTGTTCTGGATATGACATCCTCAATTAAAATTAATCGGGAAATCTATGAAATTTTGGGATATGGGCAGCTCCAACTCTGGGCAAGCATTGTGTTGGATAATCATACCTGATTCCAAGTGACAGTGTGAAGTATGTTAGAACTTTATAAGGGTAAAAGTGTGATTATGAATCTTCTTACGACTGAAGCATGATAAGGGCTCATGGTCAATGTAGGGAGATGTAACACCAGATTCTTGTTTCCATTGAGGTGCCTCTGTCTTTTAGTCGTGGTCCATCTTTTTATTAGGCCTATTAGAAGATTGGTTATCTTCTTTCATCTGGTGGTTGGGTATGTGGAAGTTTAGCAATTAACTTAAATGTGAAGTGCATGCTTCTGTAGTCTCTGGAGATGATGAGCATTTGAAAATCTTTTGAAATGTCAATCTCCAATTTAAATATTTTGCTTGTTATTCTTTTTATTATTATAATTTGTTATATAGAAATAGAAGTGGATAGATGCATGTGGATGAGTAGGATTATTGCTTACATTTCGATCTGCCTTTTTTTCTTTAATGTATGAAATCTCTTTCCCTGTGTGTTCTCTAAGAACTTTACTTGGAAACTGTTCACATAGAGTGCTTTACTTGAGATTTTTGTTTTTGCTCATTATCATGATCAAATGGATGTAAGCTGCCTACCGATTTTGATATTTTATTTTCTCTGTGTTTTCTTTTTGATTGTATTTGAGTTTCATTTATTATCTCATTCATGCACCTCTTTTGGAACAGAAAGGTGAAGGGAAGACCGATGAAAAGATCAAAAAATGTTAGAAAGACGAAAGCCATAGCAAAAGCTGTATCAAAAAATGAGAAGTCAGTTGAGAAAGTTTTGAAGCATGAGAACAAAACAGCAAGAACCCAATCTGCAAAATTGTTGTACGACTAAATACAGAAGAAAGTTCTGTTTTCACAGTAGTAGATTCTTTTTGATATCACTATATTGAGTGTACTTCAATTATTTTGAGTATATAGAATCCAATTCAGGTTACTGGTCAATTCATTGCTTTATTTTCTTTGTAATTCTGCTATAAATAGCTGCAGATGTATGACAGTTGGAGTTAGGTACTTGCTAATCTTCTAAGGTCAGGTTTAGTTTATAACCCAGTTCAAACCCGGTCCAACTTGAAAATCCGAACCTCTTAAGAATGTGTTATTCTATCTGGATATGGTCAATCATAAACCTATCTATAACTATAAATGAGATAGGCGATGGCGAATCATGGTCCGTCTAATAATTTTTCTATTAATTATTGGGTTATGCCTCGTGTAAAAGATTCTTTTTTAACTTTAACCGTTGATTCAACGACTAGTGATAGGGGAAAGGGGAATCGGATACACATGGGACACTTGAGAGACCGTCGTAAAATAAATGTTAACTAGCATCATGAAAAATAATTGCTTACTCAGATATTATTATTATTATTATTATTATTATTATTATTATTATAAGGGCGAAAAGAGAAAAGGACTGAATAGTAAATATATATATGTATATATATAGGGCGTGAATAGTGTACTATTGCCATAATAGTATATTTACTATTCAGTCCTTTTCTCTATATATTTAAAGGGATGGTTTACTGTTGCCATAACATTATATTTACCATTCAGCCCTTTTCTCTTTTTGCCCTTTGTAACAGTACCTCACTAAACTGTTTTTTCTACGATGGCTCAATTAGTCCAAAACTTTCAACCTACTTATAATACATTATTTATCTTTCTTTTCTTTTTATTTATTAAAATGTGCCTATTATATAAATTTTCAAAAAAAAAAAAAAGTACCTGAGTAGACCGCCGTAAATAAAATGTTACTAGCCATATGAAAAATAATTGCTTTACTCAGATATTATTATTATTAATTTATTATTATTATTTTATTATTAATTATAAGGGGAAAAAGGAAAAGGACTGATAGTAAATATTATATATGTATATATATAGGGCGTGAATAGTGGTACTATTGCCTAATAATAGTATATTTACTTATTCAGTCCCTTTTCTCTATATATTAAAGGGAATGGTTTTTACTGTTGCCATAGACATTTATATTTACTCCATTCAGTCCCCTTTTGCTCTTTTCCGCTTTTAACAGTACCCTCACTAAACTTTGTTTTTTTCTACGTGGCTTCAATTAGTCCAAACCTTCAACCTATTATAATACATTATTTTATCTTTCTTTTTTCTTTTTATTTTATTAAAATGTGCTATTATATAATAATTGTTCAAAAAAAAAAAAAAGTTTTACCACCGCCGGACTTATTATTTAATTTGAAGTGATGATCTTATAAATATAGCTTCTATCAATTTATTTTATTCATTATAAATTATTATGTATTTACTAACTACTAATTAGTATAAAAATTTTTAATGAACAAATTTTGTTTTACTTTGGTTGAATTATATAGTAATAATAATGAATAATAATAAGAATAATAATAATAATAATATAGTAATCGTAATAAGAAAAATTTCACTTTGAAATTTTTAAATAATTTTCTTTTCATATCGACTATATTTATTTATTTTTCACACCAATAATAAATATAACACATTATTTTCCCATGCAAGTTTTTTTTTTATCTTCCTGAACTATAGTCCTATCATTTTTTTTTTTTTTTTAAAGGAACATCTTTATACGTGCTACATGCTATGTAAATTGCATATTTGTATTAATTCAACACAAGCATAAACGCACATGTATAGATTTTCAATTTCATTCAATTGAAAAAACATAGTCATCCAATACCAAATTATGTTAGACCAAAATGTATAAATACTATTATGGTTTCTTACATAATCATATATGCATGTTACTATTAGTATAATATTCATAATGCTATTTATGAGTTGAAATTATTATGGATGAAGTCAATAAATATGAATTATCATGCAGTACTTCCATGATTACGACACACTTCAAAATTAAATTTATAAATATTAGTTTATGATAATTAATCGGCACATCATGCCGGGATTTATGCTCGTATCATCTATGAATGAACTAGCTAAGAAGAAAATGTTATAATTTTGTACTATTTTATTCTTTTTTTTTTTTTTTTTTTTTTTTTTTTGTGAATTATAGAATAGTAAATTTTTTTTATTGGATTAATTTTGTAACATGGGCATTTTTTTCTTTTTTTTTTTTTTTTGTGAATTAATAGAATAGTAAATTTTTTTTATTGGATTAATTTTGTACATGGGCAAACTTGTATATATGTATGGTTAGTTGTGGTTAATAGACTTGATTTGCCAATGAAGCCTTAGCCTAACAGCTAAAGTGGAGGTCTCCCGAGTATGGTGTCTATTACCTGTTATAGGGTTGAGTTGGACTGCTATTGTTGCCCTTTGATTTGTATCTAAAAACGGTAATTTTGTCAAGTTTGCTTAAATTACAGCAACACCTTCCTAGTGGAGATGGTAATAACTACACTTCCTTGTAAATAAAAAAAAAAAATGGAAAGTGAAATTAGAACTCTCTAATTGTCAGAAAAAAAAAACCACTCTCTTCCATTTGGCAACTTAGTGAAGGCTTTCATTTTAAACATGGAATGTCACCTTGCAAAACCACCTTCTAACCATGGCAAATTTAAGACCACCTTCTATTGGATGTTCTCACCAAATCCTCCTCATATTGTTTTTTAGCTGAAATTTGACCATTGCCTTAATTAATAGAGAATCTGCGTTCTATTTGCACTTTTTACCTTTTTCTCTCTATCTCATTTTTGCTTCAACCTTTCCTCTAAGATTCTCCAATGGCTTCTTCTTCTTCTTGTTCTTCTGGTTCTTTTTCTTCTTCTGGTTCTTCTTCTTCTTCTTCTGGTTCTTCTGGTATGGTACTTCCTTTTTTAACTTTAGATGATGGCAAGTGCTTCTACTGCAAGTCTTTCGCAGTTCACTTTAGGCGAGGTTGGCAGCTTCAAACTGGAAATTATTCTGGCCTTTGCGAGGCATGCGCGTAAGTGTCCTTGGATGCATGTTTTTGCTTCTTTTTATTTCATCGCCATTTATTATTTATTCTTCTCCTTCATGCAAAGTTGCTCATATGTATATATATGCCCCATGTTTGACAATTATTTGAGTTTATTATTATTATTTTTATTTTTATTTTGTAGGGTAACAAAATCATCTTTTTTTACTATATGTATTAGTCATATTTTCTATCGTCCATAATTAATTGAATAATATTTTTTATTTTTAATTGAATAATCCACAATTAATTATAAAGGTGCAAAATCAAAATTAAAGGCATAATTTAATTTATTAGGACCGGAAGGGGTATTTTTTTTCTTATCAAATGTATTGTTTACTTAATTTATGATAAAAGATATAATATAATATAATATAATAAAAGGTCGGATTTAATTCAAATTATGAGACAATATATCAATATAATTAACGGGAAAATTTATAGAAGTTTTATGAAAAAATTGTCCTATAATATATCAACAAATGACTTCTTTTACGGTCACAGATAGATAGAAAGAATAAGAGAAAAAAAAAAAAAGAATAATTAAAAACAAGTAACCCAATTAGCACACCATAGCTTATAAAGACATAATCTAGTGATAAGTGCATATACGACTTGACAATAGATTCAGGTTCGAATCTCCTTCCTCAATACTTAAAAAAATAAGGGGTGGAAGCGGAATCGATTTTTTAAAAAATGGGTGTAGATTCAGGTATTAGTTAAATGGTGTGGAACGGATGGCTGTTTTAAACGGATGTGGGTATTAAAAAAGGGGACTCACCACACTTGGAATGGTTAAAACCATAATTTTAAAAATCAGATTGGACCGGCCAGTTTGACTAGTTTAATTGGGAACTGAATAGTGGTCTGGTCCAAGTTATATAGAAAAACAGGGAGCTTAAAAAATCGACATAAACCGGATGACAATCAGCCAAAAACCGGTGAACCAGACCGGTTAAAACTCAGTTCGATTCAACATTTGGATTTTTATCTCTAATTGTGGGCCGTTTTAAAATTTGAGCCTCTTAAAAATTGAGTCCATTGATTTTTTAATTTTGAACCTCTTTATTTCTAAATCCAACATCCTATTATATTAATTAGAATGATTAAATTTCCCAACTTTAAACTCAAATGTGAAAAATAATATTATATTTTATTATAATTAATTAATTTTTTTAGTATTAAATTTAGTAATATTTTATTCTTTTTGTTTAAAATTATTTACTAAGTTTTCTAATTTTTTATAAAAGCCAAATTTGAGAATGTTTTTTTATTTGATATCAAATTTTTTTTTGTCCTATACTAGCAATTTTATTTAATAAATATATTTAAAAATATTATATATAAAAATTCGGTTGAACCATATTGAATCTGGTTGAACCTTCTGGTTCACTTACCGGTTCGATTCTCATAACACTAGTTAGAACCAATCCATCCCAATATTAAGCGAAACAATATGTTTCACTGTAGCAATCTTAAACCATTATCGTCTCCTCCAATATCTCTCTCCACCAATAATCCCTAATCCACTTTCTGTCTGCATCAATGAATATATAACCTCTGCACTCTCTTCCTCCATGTCTAACACAACCAAACCCACAAAAGAACCAAAAGCTTAGTTCAACAGGCATCAGCATAATAATCTGTGAACATAACTTTTAGTTCATTTCAGAAGTTTTGTTCAACACAAACAAAATAATGAAAATAGTATATCCCCATTTGATAATTCAAAAAATGACAGAAAAAGTAGACGAAAAAAAGAAGAAGATTTATTGACATCTCTTTCTTAGGACTGAATTTAAACATTAAAAATCAAAAGATAGATTTAATCTAAAGAACAACAACCCACATAAAGCAATTCGGAACTAGATTCAGATGAAAATCATCTGAAAACAAAATGCAGATGAAATACCCATATAACAAGTTCTAAAATAAACCAAAAATGAAATGAAATGGACTAAAGAAGGAGATTTTGATAGGTCCCAGTCAAAGCTTAAGAAATAAATTGGAAATAGGAATAATTTTTTATTGATGATCCAACAGTAGCAGATACAAGAGCTTTAAATAAGAATAGAACTTAACAACCAAGTCCTATGCTTAAGCCACTAACGGCAACTATTCCCACAAATTAGCCAAATATAATAGGTCAGTTAAGATAGTGGACTGACTTATTCAAAACAATAAAAACAGAAAAAATCTTTATGCAGAAATTTAATCAGCAGCAATAGAAAATATTCAGCAGCAGCAATAGTCAATCCAATATTCAGTAGCAGCAATAGTCAATCCAAATACTTTTTATTTGGAATTGACACCCTCTTTGACCTTCGTGGCTAAGATAGTGGACTGACTTATTCAAAATAATAAAAACAAAAAAAAAAATCTTTATGCAAAAATTTATTCAGCAGCAATAGAAAATATTCAGCAGCAGCAATAGTCAATCCAAATACTTTTTATTTGGAATTGACACCCTCTTTGACCTTCATGGCTTATCAATACACCCCTCTTTCACAGGAACCTTGTCCTCAAGGTTCAAAGTAGAAAATATGTCAAACAATTCAGCAGTATTTTCCCATGTAGCATCATCAGCAGGTAAGTTTTTCCAGCGAACAAGACTTTCCTCTACAAGTAGCGATCCCTGCTTAACCTAGCGAGTGTCCAGTATCTCCTTTGGCTCTAAAACAACACCACCATCATCGTTGAACAAGGGCAATTCAGAAGACACTGGTACAACATCACCAACATGTTTTTTAAGTAATGAGACATGGAAAACTGGATGGATTTTTGAACCTTCAGGCAACTGTAATCGATAAGCAACTTGACCAAGCTTTTCCAAAATTTGAAAAGGCCACAATAACGATTTGCTAGTTTTTGATGAACCCTCTTGAAAACTGAATGTTGGCGGTACGGTTGTAATTTTAAGTAAACCCAATCACCTACTTGAAACACAACATCCATTCGTTTTGCATCAGCAGATTACTTCATTTGGTTAACTGATCGGGAAAGAGTGGCTTTGAGTTGCTGCAAGATCCCATTGCGAGTTGCCAAAGCACGATCTGCTTCATAAACTGAAGACATGCCCACCTCATATCGAGGAATGGTTGGTGGATGCCTGCCATATAACGCCAAAAAAGGGGTCATGCCAATGGAAACATGGAAGGAAACGTTATACTAAAATTCTGCCCAGGGCAGAAAAGAGGTCCATTTTCGAGGCTGTTGGGATGCAAACCAGCGGAGATATCGTTCGAGACATCTATTGATAACTTCTGATTGACCATCTATTTTAGGATGATACGAAGAGCTCATGTTTAACTTGGTGCCCGATAACTTGAAGAACTCACGCCAAAAATGGCTCACAAAAATTGGATCGCAATCGCTAATTATTGATCGTGGCATGCCATGCAGTTTAACAACACCTTCAATAAACTTTTCAGCGATCATTTTGGCATTAACAACACCTTCAATAAACTTTTCAGCGATCATTTTGGCAGTAAAAGGGTGTGACAAAGCCAAAAAATGTGCATATTTGCTTAAACGATCGACCACCACCAGAATTGAGTTTTTGCCATTAGAAGATGGAAGTCCTTCAATGAAATCCATCGATATGTCATCCCAAACTTGGTGCGGAATCGGCAATGGCTGAAGAAGGCCTGCTGGAGAAGATGTTGAAGCTTTATTCTTTTGGCAAACGGTACAGGAAGCAACATAGTCACGAACTGATTTTGACAAGGAAGGCCAATAGAATTGTTCAGCTATTCGTTTGTATGTTCGCAGAACGCCAGAATGTCCTCCACTTGGTGAATCATGGAATTCTTGTAAGAGCTGAGTAATTAAATCAGAATCAGGTGGAATAATAACACGATTCTTGTAAAGAATCAAACCAGCCCGCCATAAATACGGTTTGCCTGGGTTGTCGGTAGCCAATTTGCCAATACGAATCATGTAAGGGTGTGTGGTAGCTGCTGCCCGCAAAGTATTCCACAATGATGTCTGTGGGCTGAAAAGATGTCTGTGGGCTGAAAAAGATTCCACAATGATGTCTGTGGGCTGAAAAGAGTATGGAGACTAGGACTTCCCCCGATTCTGGACAAAGCATCCGCCGCAACATTTTCCTTTCCCGGTTTATAACGGATCTCATAATCATAACCCAATAACTTAGAGACCCATTTCTGTTGTTCAGGAGTAACAATTTGCTGCTCTAACAAGTACTTAAGACTCCTTTGATCAGTTTGAATTAGAAACCTCCTTCCCAATAAATATGGCCGCCATGTACGAATTGGCTGAACAATCGCAAACATCTCTTTAGCATAGGTGGACCAGGATTGCTTTGAAACACCCAAGGATTTACTCATGAAGGCGATGGGTTTATCTTGTTGAGAGAGGACAGCCCCAATGCCTTCATTTGAAGCATTTGTGGTAATGGCAAAATCTTCATTAAAATTTGGTATAGCTAATGTTGGTGTAGAAGACATAGCATGCTTCAAATTTGCAAAAGACACGTCTGCTTCTTCTGTCCAAGCAAATCTGCTCTTTTTCAACAAATTCGTCAACGGCCGAGCAATCAAGCCATAATTCCACACAAACTTCCTGTAATAACCTGTGAGGCCTAAAAATCCACGTAAATCAGAAACATTAGTAGGTTTTGGCCAATCAAGCATTGCCCGAATTTTCCCCTGGTCCACTCGAACACCATCATAAGAAACAATATGCCCCAAGTACTCAATTTGTTGCTGCCCAAATGCACATTTATTGAGCTTGATAAAAAATTTATGGTGCCACATTTTACTTGAGCTTGATAAATTTAGATGGTGCCTGCAATATTTCAAAAGCCAGTTTTTACAATGTTCAAGATAGCCATGTTTCCAATTGGCGCTTATAAATCAAGACTATCCATCAAAAATAGCTAAGCACAAATTGCCCGTAAATATGGCCGAAATATAGAATTCATAGATAGCCCTGAAAAGTGGAGGGTGCAATACATAAACCGAAGG